AGTTAAAGAAAGTGAAACTCGTACGGAACGTGTGTCAAAGGTGCAGCATCACTATTATTTTTATCAGACAGTGGCTTGCCAAATTTCCCTAAAAGCCCTTGAGCAATCATTTTTTTCCGCTCCAATGCTTTAGGCCCATGTCCCCATTGCCGAGGATACAAATCTCTCTCCATTGTCACCCGTTTCAATTTTGCTACAACACCGTGGTCACAAGTGGCAATGGTGGCAGTAGTCATCAAGGCAATTGCTAAAATATTAAAAAAACTGAATATCATACCTAGCGCAATTGCTTCTCCTTTAGTTGTGATTAAAACTATGTCGTCATCGACATTTATGTCGTTATCGTAGCGAAGAACGCCGGGAAGCATCAACTTGGCACCATAACAAATGGCACATACCTACGCCAAAAATAAGTTAGAAGAATCATACGGCAGTGTCTTTCACTAATATTCTCTTGTAACCTATTAGAAGCCTTTCAAATGGCATTATAACACGCCGTAAGTAAGACTCATCCCTACGATTATCGTAAACCCATTTTGCATCAAGAATGTCGTGCATAGTGACGAGATTATCCTTAAAAATAAACAATGATTATACAAATTACCTCTTCTGTCATAATACCAGATCTTGTTCTTCGCAGTTCCTCCATTACCCCTCCACACCCAAGCATGAGGCCTATATGAACGAAAAGTGTCCTGACGTAGGTCCCGGCCTCACATTTGACTTGAACTACACCGAGCCCTCTCTCCTTGTCATATTCACAAAGCTTGTTCTCATAAATAGTTCTAACTCGAAGCTGCCTTTTAACTGCTGCCACAAGCGGAGGCCTTTGAAAAATAGCGCCTGAGAGACCTTCAACAACCTTTTGAATTTTCTTATAATCATCAATCGGCTCTTGTAGTCTAAAGATGCCTACATACACCTTTCCGGCACCTTGTTGCGACTTAGTAAGCCTTGTGGCTCGTTCAATGCACACAATTAGGCATCCGGTAACCTTAGGGTCCAAGGTTCCGCTGTGGCCAGTCTTTTCTACGGCAAGAGCCCTTTTCACCCATGCAACGACTTCATGCGAAGACGGATTCGATGGCTTGTCCAGATTAATGACTCCACTCTTTATATGTTCATCTATCGGTCGATTCAATGGAGAATACCCAGTACTGTCAGCTTCAAAATGGCTCTCTCTCACATTCATTAGGTGAACATTCTGAGATGTAAGAAAAGCACATTACCTTTAGCAGCAATGGCCAGGATGACGTATCTAAGGGGGGAGTAACAGTCTCTGACTTGAGGACAACATTAGATAAATCCTAGATTTTCACATCATTAACTAAGTTAAAATACCTGCTGCGTACGGGATGAATGCTTTTTCTTTGGAGAGGGTCCCATAGGTGGGTGGAAAAAAGAGGCAGCGTGCACGCTAGGAGAACGAGGCGGGATGTCACCCAAATGAAAAAACAAAAAAGACCATTTTAATATTTATTGAAGTTATACTTTTAAACATGTTATAACTTATTATTAAGACGCGTTTTCACGTTTAAAAAATTTTTAAACAATTATACAGAAATTTACCAACGATTTAATGTGACAAAGTAATGTTAATTTCGCATGCAGTCGG